CATTGAAAGGCTATTGACACGTTTAAATAATAATTTAAGTTTTTAAGCAAGCTTTAGAAATGTGTTTAAATAGAGTGAAAGTGCACTTACAGTCAACGAGTGGATTCAAGCTGAGGTTCGATGATTCACCTAAGTACAGCTCGAATAAGTTGTGATACACCCAAGTCTTATTGTTAGTCGCCTTGGCCTTTTGATATTCCTGGCAAAATAATGTTTCTTCTTTATTCTTTGCTCCGTAAGGTTCAAAATCGAATTCGCAAAAATATATTGAGACTACGGAGATTTTTAGAGACGGCTATGTCCGAGGACACAGCAACTTTCGTTTTAACTGAAAAATTGAGTGTTTTCTTTGAAATTGTATAATCCTAGTTATACTTACAGAAAACGTTGACGCCCATTTTCTTCCCAATTCTCTTGATGTCAACGTTTTAGGGAAGCCATATTCTTCAACCATGATTTTCAGCAACTCACTGTTTTAAACATAAAAAATAAAAATAGACATTTGCTACGAATTATTGGATATGAACTTCTAAGTACTCTTACTTATATATATTATTATATAATTCGTATCAATAGACGTGTAGAAGTACGTAATCCCCCTGGATTACGTAATCTCTTTTTTGTAATTGAAGTTACAATGTAGACCTTGAACATTACACAAATATAATACAATTTTAACTTGTGAAAAAGTTAACTTGACACTGAACTTAGTAACAAACATTTACAATACCTTAGACTCTATGAATTGTGATAACTATTACTTACTTCCACGCCCATTTTTTCTGTCTGAACAGCCAGTCGTGTTGCAACCTGATCTGGATAAACGTTTCTGTGATATCCTTAGACCCTGTACCAATGCAATACAATATGAAATTAACTATAAATCGCGGGTTACACACGTGAAAATAATGAGTCAAGCTCTACTAGCCTAATAAATAAGCTGCGCAACATCGCCGCGACCGCGCACGCTACTCATGAGGAAGAACCCCTCTGTGGTTTGAAACTAGTAGAGCTTATCTCAATACTTTTACGTGAGTAACCCGCGATTTTAGTTAATTTGTTATGTGTCACGTTAGTTATTATAAAAACAAAAAAAAAGTACAATATTATCATGAATTAGCTTCTGCCTAGTATGATGCCCAGGATATTAAAATATTATCATGCCAAGTTTCATCGGAATCCGACCGGTAGTTTTTGTGTGATGCGTGAACATACAGACAGACAAAATTTTTTAAAATATATTTTGGGGTTTGCTGTCCGTCTAGTACCAACCCCTACTTTTTTTTAATATTCTCAATGTACAGAATTTACATAATGTGTAGTACACATTGTTGTTTCCTTGTTTACATTATAAAATAAAACTGTAGAAGTGTAAATATATCTATAGTATAATAGATATAGATAGATTATGTTATATGGTGTGTATATTATAACTTTCGTGAGACATGCTAAATTATTTGTTATGTTATGGCTTGAAACTAGTCGAGTTCCTCGGACAAACAGTTACGCGAGTAAATTTATTTAATACGGCTTATTTATGTTGAAGAGGTACTCGACTAGTTTCAAGCTAGGCCAAGGGCCCATAATCAGGAGCCGTATGAATGAACAAATGTCCAAAAGTTATCAACGTACTTTATTTAATATATGACCCGATAGTTACAGGTAATATAAAATAGATCTTTTTTTGACAAGTGTCAATCATGCTAAATTGGAAAAATAAATAAAAAATACTTACATTGAAATTCAGTTTCATTTTCGCTCTTATTTTTATCGCTATTCTTCTTATTATGTCTAAAAAATCTAGCACAAGGTATTCTGTTCCCACAGGTGCCCTGTTCTTCTAACCTGGTTAGAACATCGGGCTCAAATTTCTCGAAGTAAGCATACATGGTGTCGTACAACGGCCACTCACTTCGTTCAGAACTCTTTTTTAGTTTCATACGATGTTTTCTCTGTAACAATGTATAATGCATGTTTCTGTCTTTACATAGGTACTACAACAGACACTTTTATGTGTGGGAGAGCCATGCTTCGGCACGAAGCCGGCCCGACTCGAGTGACACCACTGCCTCACAGAAAACCGACGTGAAACAACGCTTGCGTTGTATTTCGTCGTGTGTGAGGTTACCGGAGGCCCAGATAAATGAATAAAATACGTGATGTTACTTAAAACATTGATTGAGTAATGAATTAATAGAGTAGGTAACTAATTTCTAAAGATACTTACACCAAAAGTAATTTTAATATGATGCCACAGTCCCTTCATGTCCTGCACACAGCAGTCCAGAGGCAGATCTTGACATCTCATGGCTCTCTCAACAGTCCTAAAAAAGAAAAATAAATATATTATTATTATATATATTTATTTATGTTCATATTTGAAATATGTTAGTGTAATCTTCTATTTTCTCAATTAAATCGTTGCTTGCTTCTTGCTCCTACCATTCACTCTTCTCTGCATCACCCAAAGGTCAGACTGGGAGAAAATGCCTGCGGCATTAAGTCCACCTTGTGTACACTTTGTGCATGAAGCGTTAATAAATAAATAAATAAATAAAAACATATGAAAAAGTCATTACTAAAAAAAGAGAATAGTTGAGATGTGTTGTTTTTGTCTCATTCTTCCATACATATTCGGAAATTGAAGTGAGAGTGACAAAAAATATCTCTGTAACATTTTAAATTATAAGTCAAAGATTTGATTGAGTAATTTCACTGAATATTTTTTACTAGGCATAAGTAAGAACAATAGAATAGTCACTAAAGGACAACTTATTTACATTAATCCATTTGTGTTGTAGGCAAGTCATGTATGTACAATAAACTAAATCATTAAGAATATTAAACTTTATGAATATTAAAGTATTGTTATATTTAATATTATATTTACTTCCACATCGTCATAGGATCCAGCTTCATTTCCTTAGTTTCTGTCACACAGATTATTAATTTGAGCCGCCATTCATCACTCCCTGTAAATGAAGATATTTGTTAGACACATTTCATTAATAAATTCATGCAGCAGTATGGAAAAATTAGTTTTCACTGTTATCTTAAAGTAAGGAAAGCGAAAGCCTTAAGATGCTGTGAAATTTGTTTCCTAGAGTATTTTAATTAAACTGTCAAACACCAAGCGGTCACCGGTGACCGCAACCCATTGTTCTTTAATTGTGTCTATAAATACGGTACTCAACGAGTTAAAACTCCCAGTTTAAAATGTTCTACTAGCAATTTCTTTTTTTAATGTGCAATGTTTCTTGTAAACATTCAGCATAGGTCAAGATATTTATTGGTTTTGTAGGGTCAACTGCACCAACATAGGTCCTTTATATTTTAACCCTTATAGGTCTCTCAGGGCTTTTGTTTTAGCCTTTAGAATGGTATTATTAATCTTTAGGTGCATAGCCAGGATGTTTGGATGATTCCTGTCTGTTTCTGTAGGATATCATGTAAGTACATGATAGGCTAATTTTTGTAATAGATTCTTATTAAGAAACTTATCAATTCTTCAAATACTTACATGATTCATACTTATCCAATATTTCATTATTGCCAAAATGCTTATCAAATATTTTAAAATATTTCCAACTCTTGTTATTTGTTTTCTTTGCTATTTTGTACATCTGCAAGAATGAAGTAGTTATCTGAATTAATCTGTCAAACACCAAGCGGTCACCGGTGACCGCGACCTATTGTTCTTTAATTGTGTCTATAAAACCGGTACTCGACGAGTTAATTATGAAACTATACATACATCCTGTTCTGCTTGCCATACCTAATAAACTTTGGTTATTGGGTAATAGAGAACATTATCAAAATATTTGCAATTATAATTATGTAGGTATGCAATAACAATCAATGTTGTATTTAACTATTGGTTCTATTGTTTAATTTGAATAATAATTAACCTATTGTTAAATACTTACATCATAAGTGTATGACCACTTCTTTCTGACATGGTCTATAGTCATTTCATTTGGGAATCCATTATCCAATAGTAATTTGCGAAATTCACTGGCAATAAAAAATAATAACATTTTTGTTAATCATAACAATATTGTTGATAATTCTACATTCTTTTTTTTAAATTTCACACTCAATAATTAACAGTAATGGGAAGTAACTGGCCACTAACAATTCAGTATTGGAACAATACAAAAGAAATGATTAAAGACAGATAAACATTTTATGGGTTTTGCATGAGTAATGTTTGTTTAATGTTGTTTATATTGTAATGAAAACATAAGTGTGATTCAAAGCACAGGTGAATCCCTCTCTACTTTGAGTCTTCTTTGAATGAAAAAGAATGGAAAGTTTGACAACATGTAGGTAACTGTAGTTGGTACTTAGACCAACTACTATCTCTACATAGAAACCTTTGTTTTGATAGGTACTCACCTCCAAGGTTGCTTTTTACTTTTAAAAAGCCAGTCATTCTCAAAACGAAGTTGTAATAGTCTCTTATTGAGGTCAGATGTCCCTAAAATACATAAAACATACCCATTTAGCGAATTCTTCATCTAATAGCAACGAACTGCTTTCTTCGTATTGACCAAAAAGCCTAAACCACTCACATGTAAAGGTTTTATCCTCCATATTATGGATATAAGATTTTCATTGGTTTCGGAATAATTTTAAGATGATTTTATACAAATATTTGTATAATTACTTTGCAAAATGGTACAAAAATATGGCAAGTTGGCGAATTGTTTTGATAATTTGATATTTATTTTATGACAGGCTGAGTGGATCACTGGAGTGGATGACACATTTTAATGGCTTGCAACACTGTACTCGATAAAAAAATCGACTAAACACTCTGGTTACGGTTCGTGAGGTTTACGTACATGACAGTTTTCATTTGACAAGAATGACAAGAGGTAGGACATCCCTAGGATATTATTTTGGTTCTGCGATTCGTCCTACAATTTTCACGTGGTTTTACACATTTCGGCATGTTTTACACTATTTACTTGTATTTTTGAATTAAATCGGCGAAAATGCATCGAATTGCATATGCCAGAAATTTGTACCAAAGTACTTTACATGGAGTTTCGCTGCCTTCTAATAATACATTAAAAAGTACGTCAAATACGGAAATAAAATGTTCATTTTGCCGAAGGATTTTATTAGGCCGTGTGGGTGCAGGTAAATCATATTTATAGTACAATTTGTGATCTAATGTAGCTACCATATATTATAGAATCTACTTACTTGCACTATATATAGGTTATCCAGTTGCATAACATGTCTAACAAGTATATTTTTTTTAGAAAACTTATATACTGTGAGACACCAATCTACGAAAACTGCTAATCTACTCAGTTCACTAAGAAAAAAGGCTAAACGAAAGAACTATCACAAATATGCGGAATTACTTGAAGGTATGGTTTGTTTACATTTTTATCACTGACATTGCATATTAAATAATTAATTGTTCTAAATATTTTTATTTTATTCTTATAGTTGGTGACCAGGCTATGACTGAAACTAAAGTTTCAATAAGCAAGTTACGAGCTGTACATCTGTCTAAGTTAGCATCTAGTCCAGTGTCACTTGGTCAATTACATCAACTCACCACAAAAACTCCAAAGAACTTGAAAGTGGCTGAAGTAGACCCTGAACTGCTTCAAACAGTGAGGGACAAAATTCTAAAGAAAACACCTACGAAGGTGTCATCAAAAACTGGTTCTGGGAAGGCAGCCTCCTCGGACATTATGTTAGAAGATGATAAATGTGCACTTGTTTACACTGCACATCCATTATCTAATTTTGAGGACAAATTCAAGACGAAACAATACATAGATATGGTAAAAGAAAGTTACTATGATTTTAGAAAAGCTACCCTTTATGATCAGAAGTTGCAAGACCTTAGGTATGCAATTAGTGAAGGATTGACTCAAGAGTTTGATCTGAATGCTACAATATCTAGTAAAAATGACCTCAAGTTGGATGAACACTTGGATCACTTACCAAAGGGTCCTCATGCTGTGTTTAGAGAACTTTTTGTAGATAACCATTTAGATAGCTATGATCAAGAACTAGTGAGCCACATTACAAATATGCAGTAAGTATATTGCATTAATTTATTTATCAATCTCCAAATAAGTAATTAGAAAATTTATTTGTGACAACCTTAGTTATATTTTCCTAATCTTTCAGAGCACAAGGCCTAGCACACCCAGCGATAGAGGACATCTATGATGATCCAGCTTTACACAATGAAATAGTAGACACCCCGGAATACCTTGATATGGAACCTAGTCATGAACCTACTCCTTCTAAAACATTGAAAATTAAACAGGCGTAAGTATAATTTTTTTTATTAAAAAAAAAGAAATAAATTACAAACTCTTATTAATTTGCTCTAAATAGTATTTTCAACGATAGCTACGAAATATTTGATGAAAAAATATATACTTCTACATTTTTTTAGAAATACATTCTCTAAATGTGTCTCATAAATCCAATTTTTGCATTTATAGAAAAAAAGAGATGAGGGACAAAATTAAAGCAAAACGTGACAAGAGAAGAGCCAAACAAGAGCTGAGTATGAAGCATGATATCAAAGACGTAGAGCGGCAAGGCAAGCAAGAATCCTTGCATCGAGTGCTCACGGCACATCTGCAACTACTCTGCTCACTGAACATGATACAAGAGGTAAACATTTTGAATAGTCTAACTTTTCCATCAATTTCCCTATTTCTATTGAATATAGACAGTTTTTCTAGTAATCACTTATTTTGATCAAGTTTAACCAAATTGTCTACCTATAAGAGGGTTTTAGTTCCTATGCAAGTAAAATGTTTCTAAACCAGTGTTATACTAAATACTTTTTAAATTAAAACAAGAATTGACAAGGAGTGAAAAAAGAGTGGGAGGTTCTTGCTAATAATTCTTTCATTTTCATTGCTCATATTAAAATAACAACAACAAAGTACTGGATATGTGGTTTCCATTGAAAATGTGTCTAAACCATTGTTGTTCGAGGGTCGTTAGCACGGACTGTCTGTGTCAATTAGCACAATAAGAACGTCAACGCTTGAACGCTGTATGTAGGTCGCGTTTATTTGTCTAAGTAACAATGGTTCGGTTTCTACTAGAAGTAGCGATATAAAAATAATTCTATAAATGGTTTTGACACCAGTTGTCCGGAAGATAGATATTATTAAAAATATATAGTCAAAATATTTACGAATCTTTGTAACCTAGTTTTTATGCGAAAATCTCTGTTATCTTATCAAAGGTGTCGCTGACCGTCGACTCGCGCGTCTCGCGATAAGCCAAGACGAATGAGGGATTGAATGTAATCCCAAAAATGGAACATAACAATTAGTTTCGAATACTTATTACATTTTTAAAAATATGTTATTATTACACATTTTGTTCCCCGAATGCTAAATGTGAGAGTTACTATTCGCCTGTTATAATATCTCACGTAATAGGGAGTCTATTTTGCCTTACACCCATCTCTATTCCAGGCCTCAAGCTATTACTCATTTACAAAAACCAAATCTAGTATGAAAGAGAGATGTAGACCATAATTGACATTCCTGCACAAAATCAAAACACCATACATGTATTTTCTAAAGATAAACAAACTATTGTAACTAGATGTATCATATTACATAGAATTTCTTTACATTATTACATTATACATACACATTTATTACGTTCATTGTAATTGTTACAGGCCCACCAAGTGCTACAGTATTACCGACAGAGAGGCACGAGAGTCGCCAGCCATCCCAAAATTAACGACGTCAAAGTCTACAACACATTGCTACATGGATATGCGTACACTGTAAGTAATAATAATAATATTATGCTTATATCACACAAATAACACAATAATCAGTAATTATTCTCGAGTAAACCCTAGTCAAATGGGAAAATAAGGATAAAAGTAGCCTGTTTTCTCCGAAAACTATGTTTTCTAAAGGTAAAACAATCAGAATCAGTAGTAATGGAGCTTATTCAATACGAAGAAACAATAAACTATTTCTTCTTTTTTATGTTAAGTATAGATTTACGACACTTTAAACAACCACTTTCATCATAGGACCTTAATTATTACTTTATTTTTTTTTACAGGGTATGCTAGATAACGCCAAGCAACTGCTCTCGCACATGTCTGAAGATGGAGTGAAACCTAACCCTCAGACGTTTGCGGCGATGTTCGAATGTGTGGAGCGAAGTGAGGAACAAAACAAAGTCGAACTGCTGCAACATTATAAACAGATGATGGAACAAAAGGTAATTTAATTGTGTAATTTAATAATTAGTTCTGTTGTGGTGGCGCTGTTGTCGGTTTTGGTCTTGTGAGTTGTATGTGAGTGAGTGAGAGAGTTAAAGTTACTTTAAAGTATTTTATGTTGTTGAGGTTTTTGTAGTTACTTTACTCTTAGAAGCCATTGTTGATTCAAATTACATTCTTATTTTCAGGACATATCACTAAACGACTTGTTAGACAAAACAAAATTCCTGTACGACCAACGGGAAGTAGTATTAAAGGCCATACACAGGATAGAACCGGACTTCCAACCTCAATACACAACTCCAGTACTAGACTACAACTGCTCCTTACTTAATAATATTACATTAGACAAAGTGGAGAACAGACAAGGCCTGATGTCGTCACCCGCTGAAGGTCTACTGTCCTTAGAAGAAATGATTCAGAAAGGCAAGGAACAATTGAATATTGAAATTAAAGGAGAAATCGAAATACAGAACATTGGTGTTAAAGATGAAGAGTCGGAGTCTGTGAAGTTTTGTGTAAGTAACAAACTCTAATTTGTTTCTGTTTCATACAAGATTAACACATTAAATGCCGTATTGTTTGTAAATTTTTCATGACCCGACTAAGCTACCACAGAGATCGAGCTGCAGCAGTCTGTGATAAACCTCACAAATTGCGATCTCAAACCTGCTTGCTAAGCGTAGAGATTCTGTCAAACACCGAGCGGTCACCGGTGACCGCGACCTATTGTTCTTTAATTGTGTCTATAAAACCGGTACTCGACGAAATGACAAGTCTCATATAGCCCAATGGTGGACTTCATTAGCTGTGGATGATTGATGATTAACCTAGTAATTTTTGTGTCCCAGAGACAAAAACTGGCAGAGACAGAGAAGGAATGGCGCAGCGTGATCAAGGAGTCGTTCATACGCAACCTCGGCACGCTCAAGTCACAGAGCAGTGCCTCGCATACTGCTATCACACTGTATCCGTATCTTAAGGTTTTAGAGGTAAGCTGCAAATTTTATTTAATAATGTAGTTTATATTTTTATGACCTTATAAGACGAGAAAGGTTGATTTTAAAACACTTATGAGTATTTTATGAAGTCACCAACATTAACAAATTGTAACTTTACTTAGCCTCTGCTAGTTGCCTCATGTTTTACGGCTTTCCTTGATATATGAACTGTCCAACACGAAAAGAAATTCTAAACTCGAATCAGTTGTTCTGGAGATCAGTGCATTGAATGTGTGTAAATAATGATACAATGTTGTTACAGGTAGATCAATTTGTAGATCTAATAATGGGAGAACTGTCCAAGCTGGTGGATGGTAGTGAAACATACAGTCCTACACTGAAACTCTTGCAGAGAGATCTAGGAGCACAAGTCTATCAGAAGTAAGTCATTCAATGCACCTTAGTTTAATTTTGTCATTGTGAATACCTGATTTAGTTGACCTTAATTCTATATTTTAAATATGACAGATTTGTAAAGCGAATCAAATTTTGTTTTCATAACGCAGTCGTATAACAACATAATTATCTTTATTCCATCGAAATAAGGTTGTAAATTCTACATGCTAAATGGAAATCAGCTACTCCATTTTTGATTCCATAACTGTCGCTTCGTCACTGCCGAAGTAGGCTGTGCTCTAAATAACATTGTTTTATTATATTTTTTTTAATGAATTACATGACTCCATGGCAATGTGTACCTTAATCCACCGACATTAAGATAGATTCAGATATCATTAAAACTATTAACAATACATTTCTGCGTCAGGTATCAAATTGAGCAATATCGTCGTAACGGTATCCTGCAGAAGATAGAGCGTGTTTACGCGAAGTATTGTGAGTGGTACGTGAACCGACACTCAGTGGACGGGACGGGCGCGCCGTACAATGGACGCCAGGCGTGGCAGGCACTCGTACATATGAATAGAGAAGGGGCTAGCTTGGTGAGTTTACTATTAAAATGCTAATAATGTTTCATTATGTCTCTTAGATATTTTAGTGTAAAATCAACCCTGATACTATAATTAGAAATACCTAAATTTCTGGATCTTATTTAATTTAGTTTTTGTATAATAATTAAACTTTATGCGGCTTATTCACTTAAATGTTTGACGCGGTAAATGTGGCATTATTTGTTGAACAATGCTGTTTATGACTATGAGTTCCGAGCGTGGCTTGAAACTAATCGAGCTGCCTCGTCAAATAGTAACAAGAATAAGTCGTGAAACATAATTAACTATACATCAGTTTAACATAATCTCTGCTTAATCCCGTGGGAGATATACATAACCTCTATGACGACTAAACTGTATTAATGTCTATGTATTAGTTTAACATGTCTGGATAATCCAATTTGACATTTTATTTCTTTCCGACGATGAGAAAACGTTTTTATGAACGTTATTAATTGTTTAGGATATCGAAGAGACGCAATGGCCAATGGAAATGAAACAAAACGTTGGCAAGTTCCTGTATAATATCATCATCAACGATGTCAAAATTGACGTCAACATGTTCAAGAGTAAAGCTGCTAAAGAGTAAGTGATAACGTTAACGTTTTATTTTCCTTACTGTTTTTTTTTCTATTTGCAATGTGTCACTTCTTACGTTTGACAACAATCTCACGTGATGGTAAGCAACTTATTCGCTCGGGCCCCAGGATATTTTCTTCGAATGTAGCATCCAAGCAACCTTAAAGTCAACCTATTGGCATTTCTTTAACAGAATTTCAAATGCGTTGTTTTGTAACAAAGGCTAAAATCTATGTATTAGCAGAATAACTTAAAGTGTTGTTGTTGATAGAAGTGTTATCTTAAATGAGAAAGTGTTGTTATTAAGCCTGTTGTCCCGTGTAGGAAGAAGCTCCCGGCCGTGTACAAGGTGCACCGTCCGTGGGCGCGCGTGGTGCGGCTGGAGCTGAAGCCGCACCCCGTGCTGGCGCGCGTGTGGGCCGGCGCCGCGCCGCCCGGTCTGCGCATGCGCGCCGCGCTCACGCCCACCGCCGCGCCGCCCGCGCCCTGGGCCTCGCCCGCCAAGGGGGCTTATCTTGTTACTCCCACACCCTTCGTCAGGTAAACTAGTACTACACACTTGACATACTTCATGAGCAATCCCCTAATATAATTGTTACTAAGCCTATGTAACTAAAACCTTATATAACTAACCAATATTTCGATTAATTATGCTTTCCGACTTACTCAAATACATACGGACCAGGTAACTCGACTAGTTTCAAGCCACGCTCAGGGCTCAGAGGGCTTAGTACGAGTTTGTGCATTTAACGAGATCGACACGAAACCGCGTTCGGCGCGATGATTGGCCGTCTCTAATGAACCAATAAAAAGCATTAAATAGGCTGAGCTTCTTTTGACCAAAAGCACCACGCACTAGCGCTAATATTTTTCTTTCCAATTAGAATGCCATTCTACGTGATGAGTCAATGGAAGCGTCTTGAGTCTGCGCCACCAGAGAGCTTGTATCCAGTCCTGGACAGTCTCAACCAACTGGGCGAGGTGCCCTGGGTCATCAACAAGCGTATACTGGACTTGCAGATAAAGATATTCAGGTAAGCCATAGGTTTTAAAACTTATCTTTCAATATCTACTTAGATTTTAATATAATGGGTTATTTATTAATTGTCAGTGTTTCTGAAAAGTTCTAACTGTAAACAGCTATCCATCCATTTCTGCCTCAAGCAGGCGACCTCATTAGGCATCTTTAAATAAAATTATTCCAATTAGTGCGAAGGCTAAAGTAAAATTCTCTCGAGTTGTAAAACCTAAATTTTGCGTTCACTAGATGGCGCTAGGGAAGTTTAAAGTCCTATCGCCCTATTTATCAAAACTTTTAAAAAGTGTAGCCTAATAGAATCAAATAATTATTAATAGACCTTTACATTGACATTAGCATTCTCTATTCACGTAAAAAAAGCTTTCCTTAAAATAAGCTATTTTATGGGATAAGCCACTAAACGAGCAGACGGATCACCTGACGGTGAGCAATCGGCGTCGCCCATGGACACATGGAACACCAGAGGTGTTACAAGTGCGTTACCGGCCCTTTGGGGATTAGGTATTTGAGGGTTCTTGGAGATTTGGGGGTGGGTAGAATGAATAACCTAAAGCTTACTAAAGCGACATTTATCTTACAGGGAAGGTGGAAACAAGAAGCTAGACATAGCTCCTCCATCATCAAAATTAGATACGTCTCAGTTCCAAAGTGGTTCGGACGCAGCGGCCGCGTTTAAACGTCGCGTCGCCATCAACAGAGCGCGCGCTGAGATGCATTCTTTGTGGTGTGATGCGCTGTATAAACTATCGCTTGCTAACCACTATAGGTATGTTTAACTTTGTATATTTTGTTACTTTTTAGTCTATATGGGATATTTTAACAATTAATCAAGTAGAGATTTCATAATAAATAAATAAATAAATAAATAAATAAATTTTTGTGCCTGATGTTATTTCACAGAAAAGGTGTGATAAATCTAAGATTAGTCGAAAGTTTTTTGGTCTAACCAAGTGTTACAATCTAAGTCCTAGTAGTCTTTATACAGTTAAAGACCTATTTTGTTAATTCTAGATAAATTTTCATTGATCTAACTTGCGGATAATTTAATGCTTTTAATGTTTTAAAACATATGTTAGTTAAGGTGACAGGTAAAATAGGCTGTAATCTGTATGTTTTCCACCAGGGACTCGATATTCTGGCTGCCGCACAACCTGGACTTCCGCGGGCGCGTGTACGCGTGCGGGCCGCACGTGTCCGCGCTGGGCGCCGACACTGCGCGCGCGCTGCTCGCCTTCGCGCGGCCGCGCCCGCTCGGCCCGCGCGGACTGCGCTGGCTCAAGCTGCACGCCGTCAACCTCACCGGCACTATGAAGAAGAGCACTGTCGATGAGAGGTGACCGACTTGTCATGTTGATTTTTATTTGCTTAAAAATGGGATCAGAATTTTACATCTTAAAAGATCTTCAAACGATGTTGGTTATCACCCTTAGTATATTGTCGTTCATTTAACTAATAAATAGTGCACACTAGAGGCTCGATGCTTCCACTCTACCTACAATCCCTCAAATCAAATCTCCAATTCCCGATTGCTTATCATCAGATTATCCATCTGCTCGTTTGCCCAATGCTAATAATATAAAATATAATTTTTAAAACTTTGTTCTACAGATTAGCATACGCAGACAGTATAATGGACAAGATCCTGGACTCAGCAGACCGTCCGCTGGAGGGCCAGCGGTGGTGGGCGGAGTCCGAGGAGCCCTGGCAGACGCTCGCTTGTTGTATGGAGATAGCTAACGCTGTACGATCGCCTAATCATGAAGGTACATATAATTTCTGATTTTCGTTAGTATTTTTAGGTTGTAATTAATTTAAAATTGTTCTGACTTTGTTTTGTTGATTGATTCATTATTTATTTATTATTTACTTATTGAGCTCGAGATTTGTACTTACTTATAGACTTATCGAATTTCAAACATGTAAAAATAAATAATTTTCATATTAATATTTGATGTGTTGCATACCAATTTCGAGAATAAATCAATGTTATAGTTTTCAAAGTTATAAATGTATGTATTTCGTTTGGTTTAGAGTACCTGTGCGGGTTCCCGGTGCACCAGGACGGGTCCTGCAACGGGCTGCAGCACTACGCGGCGCTGGGCGGGGACGCGGCCGGCGCGCGCGCCGTCAACCTCGCGCCGCTCGCCAGGCCGCAGGACGTCTACAGCGCTGTCGCTGCTTTGGTAACTTATTATTTATTAGGCTTTTGTACTTATATTGTGGATTCTTTTATTTCAAGTGATGCTTATAGTGTTTGCGACTATGCTGATATAAGAATATTACAGGTTAAAGTCTCTTTAAAATAAAGACATTACCAGCGTCGCTCATGTTGCCCATATCTATGGGTCCAGTTGAGTTGACTCGTTTTCCAAGTATTACTTATAAGATCCATACAAATGTTAACAGCTGTCCTAAACTTTATACACAGGTAGAAGAAATGAGAGCTCGTGACGCAGCTGCCGGAGTGCCAGCAGCCATTATCCTGGAGAACTTTGTACGAAGGAAGGTCATTAAGCAAACTGTCATGACCACAGTCTATGGAGTCACCAAGTTCGGAGCTAGACTGCAGATCGCTAAGCAACTGAAAGGTAAATATTCTATTAGCTTGATCATAAATCATACGTATGAAAATTTCACCCACTTAAAGAGTAACGGTGGTGACCACCCTTCACTACCCTCTCGCTCGCTTCTCGTACACACGGGTAAACGCGCGTTCTCGTACACACGGGTAAATATTTTAGTAGAAAAGCGAATTAACTATTCAGTTAATCAAATAAAGAACAGGTTGCAAACTTGAAAATATACAGAAAAAATATCGTGCGCTTTTCCGTACACCCGTGTGTACAATTGCGCGATGTGTACTCGACTCTCTCGTGTGTACGAGAAACACGCGAGAGGTTACACTGCCGTCACCACACGACCTATACTTTTTGGTTTCCAGACATAGAGGAGTTCCCGAAGGAGCATGTATGGGCGTGCTCTCAGTACCTGACGACGAAAACCTTCGACAGTCTACGCGAGATGTTCACATCCACCAAACTCATACAGGACTGGTTCACTGACTGCGCCAAGTGAGTTTATTTTACATGTTAAGTTAATTAGTCACTTTCAACTAGCTGATGCAAATGTTTGGCTGGTATTTTTTTATTGCACAAAGAAGCGACTTTTGTACCACTGATCATACGTGATGATACGGTCAAAGATAGCACGCCTACCCATAAGCAACTTACAAGCTACTAAATTAATTCACAAAGGATGACGTGCCGAATGTACCTGTAGAGGTAGGCCCAACATTACTCTATGTCCTTTAATAGATATCATTTAACACCTTGAACGCCATGGGGGACAAGGTATGGGCCACAATAGCGGAGGATTTACCGTCAACAGTTTTCTGTCGGCAGTCAAACTGTTAAGTAACTATATAATTTTCCCCATAACGAATCGAAACTAGCCCCCATAATAACAAATTATAGTTATGAATAGAGCTTTCTAACTCCATACGTCTGGTCGTTATTTGTTCGATAGGTACATTTCCGATACATATTTGCCCGTCATCGATCGATACAAAAACTATTGATAAACAATTTATTGAATAACATTGTTCACTGTTTAAACTATTTCTTACAGGCTAATATCAGCAGTATGCGGCGAGAGTGTAGAATGGGTGACTCCACTGGGCTTACCCGTAGTGCAACCGTACTACAGGAGAGCCGGACCCTCCGTCGGACAGTACCGACCGGCATTAGACCAGCATCAGTAAGTAGACACCATTGATCTAGGTTCTATAAAAAGGGCACGTCTAAATGGCTCACTACATAAAGTACATTTTTGAAATACACTTTAAGCAAGCAGTTGGGCATGGTTTTAAGTGTATTAGAAGACTTATAATTGTTCCTCTCTGTCTTTCTAAACTCTTATTTCAAATATGTTTCAATTAAGAACTAATTAAGAACTGCCTCGTTGGCAGAGTGGTCGCATGTGCGACTGCCGGGCAAGGGGTCTAGGGTTCAATTCTCGGGTCAGGCAAAGTATTACTGGATTTTTAAAAAATCTCAGTTGTAGCACGGTTTCTGTTTGTGCTTGGTATATGGCAATAGGCTCACCCCCTATCACATGGGACTCTTAACATAAATAATGAAAAGTGGGTGTTACATGGTACAGTGACATTAAGTGCCGTAATGTGCACTTTTGCCTACCCCTTCGGGGATAAAAGGCGTGATGTTATGTTATGTTAACTAATTAACTCTTTCAGTCTTGGTGGTCACTGTAGCTAACCACCTTTTCTTAGAAATTCAATTTTTGAAGTATGCTTCAAATTACTTTGCTTTGGTTTTTAAGCATTTCAGTATAATTGAATAAAATATATTCGTAACCAGTTAAAAGTGTGACTGAAAGGCCCTTTAGTAACAAATCTTAAATCTTACATACAAACACAAAAAGCTGAAGAGTTTGTTTGTTTAAACGCGCTAATCTCTTGAACTACAACTACTGGTGATAATAGATTTAACGATCATCATTCATGATCTCATACCATTTATGGTATGGTCATCTCAAGGTCTCATAGGCAGAAAGAAACATCACGCTATGATCAATTATAGGAACTAGCAGTGCCGGTGAAATCGCGCAGGAGTATCTAGTTAATAATAAAGCCGCCTTTATTTCCAGACGTCCGTGTACAATGAAGCAGCGCAACGCGTTCCCGCCGAACTTCATCCACTCGCTGGACTCGTCGCACATGATGCTGACCGGCCTGCACTGCGAGGCGGCCGCCGTCACCTTCGTCTCTGTACACGACTGCTTTTGGACGCATCCAAATACCGTCGATATCATGAATAAGGTAAATCTAAGTCATTCATTTTCAATTATTGTAATTGCAAAACGATGATCTAATAGAGGTTTTAAGGAACCACAGGCTTCTTACAACTTGGAAAGTTTTAAAGGAGATCTATGTTCAGCAATGGATGTTTTCTATCATGATGACGATGAATCCACATAAGGTACAGGCACTTTTCAAACGTTGAGTTGTCTTAGAACTCAAAAGTTGTCTGTCAGTGAATTAGTTCTTGAAGTTTTTATACAATTTATTTCACTGGCAACATTATTGAATCCGTAAAAAACTCATTATCATTTTATTGTAACAGATTTGCCGTGAGCAGTTCGTAGCTCTGCACTCGCAGCCGATCTTAGAAGACTTATCAGAATTCCTCACAAAACGATATAGCTATGATGAGAGGTGAGTTCATCCATATACATTAAATAGAGCCAGTAATTCTGTCTACTTTATTATTGAAAGTATGTTAATTTTTCGTGAAGTCCATGTTTTGACGGCCCATGGTATGACGGTCGCTATAAGTTTTAAATATTTTTCAGTGAACTGGAAGACAGAAGCGTGGGCGCAGCGAATAAGAAACGCGTGAACAACCTTCTACAACAAGTGCCCAGTAAAGGAAATTTCGACCTCAAAAGCGTACTAAGGTCTGTCTACTTCTTCAGTTAAAGGAAACACGGATTCAATCGAAACTTAAACAAATATTGTTAAAGTGACATCATGTTTTAGGGAACAGAGAGTAAAGTTCCCTAAGATCGGAAAAGGAGGATCCTCCGACCAGGCGAGGTGATCGTGCCTGGCGGGCTTTCTGCCCAACAGTTGTTCGTTGGGATTTTCTATCCGTGTTAAATCGCTTGTAAACTTTGCATGTGCGATGTAGGATTATTGTGACGTCATTCGTTGATATGTGGCATGCGTCGCCACATCACTCCCTCCCAAGACCGGAGGTCGATCCCGCTGAGACGGCTGTCGATGCTTGAGATGAGCGGTGCCAGAGCCAGTGTAGAAAGTCCCTAGTTCCAGTGAGTCGGAACTGTGCCGCTTAGTGCCCAGTGAGTCGGGTGAGCGGTGCAGGGTGAAACTCCAGTGAGTCGGAGAGATGAGTTCGCAGTGTCCCACGGTGAGTCAGGGAAGAGATGCTGCGAGGGTAGGTGCGTAGTGGCTGGCGTCTGCGTTGACGGGAGGAGATGTCCTTCAGAACCGTGTGCAGAAGTGCTGTGCCTAGACGCTAGTGAGGCCGTAGGGAAGAACCAGGCTGCACGACTTCGTTGCAGGCGATGGTGGTCCCTGATGAGGCCGAGGATGCTGGTTGGCTGCGACTTGATTACCGCTCAGCGGAGAAGTGATGAATGAGAGGGATGGCGATACGGATGACGGTGCTAAACTGCTCCGTGAAGTGAAGGTTGCTTCCAATCACGTCGGGGTCACCACTTTAGGGAACAGAGAGTAAAGTTCCCTAAGATCGGAAAAGGAGGATCCTCCGACCAGGCGAGGTGATCGTGCCTGGCGGGCTTTCTGCCCTACAGTTGTTCGTTGGGATTTTCTATCCGTGTTAAATCGCTTGTAAACTTTGCATGTGCGATGTAGGATTATTGTGACGTCATTCGTTGATATGTGGCATGCGTCGCCACAATGTTATCGACCAAAACCTAATTCTACCTTGACTAGTAGTTCCCTACCTCTCAACTATGTTAGTGATTGTAATGCAGAGCTTATGTTTCCATTATGTATTTGAATTTCAATATAGTATTATGAAATGATTACTTAATATCAAATAAGTCGGTTAGAAATGCTAGGGGCGGGAACGTTATTGTTTTGCCTGATCTACCTAAAACTTGGTTACCGCCTGTTAATAGTTCCAAGAAATTAATTTAATATTCCTAAACTTATTGACACTATGAAGGATAGAGTTGGAGTAGACAAAAAATCTACGGAGAAATGGCAACCCCGATACGAATGAGAAATTCCAAAATGGCCGCCTTAAATAAGTGTTGCCATGTAAGGACTTAGAGATAGACTGAAGGTAAACACGTGGTGGATATTTGAATATTGTTAGGTCTTTTGTAATTTTCTAATAAAATGTTACTGTTGGTAACTGCTTAGAAATTTTGTACATTCTTGTATTTCATTCTTCCATTGATTTCTTGAGACTGGCTTTGTATTGATTACGCTTTGTTGTCTCAAATGTTTTATAGTGTAGTTACGAATATAGTTATTTGTACGAAAATCTTATTTTTACATCATTTTAAACGTTATGAAAACGGAATTCTATTTACTGCCCTTTTTTAATAAAATGTTTAAATGAAATACGTGGCATGCGTGGTATGTCATAAGACTTATAGGTGTGCTAAATCATTATTTTATTTGATTTTAGTAAACGTTGAGTCATCTGTAAATAAAGGCGAGTTTTACACAAAATGCCGTGTCCTCAAACTGCCTAAGGTTTCAAACCAAAGTGAACCTTACTTACTTCACAGAAATACTAATTTCAACTGCCTTAACTACTGCCTATGTTCTAATAAGATTTTCATACAAATAACTTGAAGTAATATTGTTTTAGTTTACTCTTGTAGAGTACAAAAATTGCTGTGTTAATTTTTAATTAATTATATTTGGTTAATATTATAATCGACACAACTGGATGACATGTCTATTATATCTGTGTATATAAATCATAGTAGTGAACCAAATATTGACAAAGTTGAAGATGTAATCTTGTTGAAGATTTCTTGTCGTCAAGTTGCAATAATGTTGCAAGTTGCAATAATAAACTGTGATTGCTAGTAGTTGAACAATAAATGAAGCTGAATTTAATTTACTTCGTTTTATTTAAAAAAATCGGCTCTGAATATTAAATAAAACAACTTGATTATAAATCATCGTTTATTTTGTGGTACAAAAATTCACGTTACACGGTCACGTAACTAATTACAACAATTTCCGACTAGCAACATCATCACAGGCCTCACGACCCACACTTATATTGGACGGACACTATTACTTTATATTATTAAATATTCCAACACATTCAAATCATTTCAATATGTATTTACGTCCAAGCTTTCAATTTTACCGTTTTTATTCTAAGTAATGAGGTACTATACGTTAAAATATAAAATTAGTTCGTGTTATAAATAAATAAAGATAAAATTAGTTTGGCGGGTGCGCAGTCTACAAAATTACTACATGCCTGCATATCCTACTAACATCTAACATATTTTCAATGAAACCGAGTGCTCAAGTGAAACTACGCTCGTCTCGAAAGAAACCCATCTTACACTAACTGACAAGAATTCTTTAAAATTTCAAACTTCACCTTCAAAATAGCACATTGAACAATGCGATCTAGTTCCTAAACAAAATCTTATAAGTAACAATTAATCTATAATGGGGCAAATTCGGTTGAAACTCAATAAGGCAGAGTTTAATTTAGTCGTGTTGTGACCGTAACGAATAGGATAGTTTAGCATTACTGCGGATGATTTTAGTCAGAATTAGATAAAAGTTAATGCATGGTGGGCGGTGCCGCGGGCGTGGCTAGTGTTTGTGCAGCAGGTGCACGCTGGTGTGTGGGCGCGCGCTCGGGTCCGCGCTCTCGCTCGAACCGCTCGTCGTCGTCCGCTGGCTCATCTCCGACGACCTGATAAAAATACCCAGTGTATACCGACCAGTAACAAGACCTAGAGATAACTACATCAAAAGAAATCTGTCTGATCTACTAGCAAAGTCGAATGGGTAGTCTGGACTGTGGCGGACTACTCACGTCGGCGTCAATGTGTCCACATCTAAATTCTGCAAGCAGAACCACTGCGGCATGAGATTTTCATCACTTTTGGCACAGTCCAAAGTTCCGTTGTACAGCAACAAGTCATCCATTAAAACCTGGACACAATAAAAATTCAACTTTATAAATAGTAACAACTTCCAAAAGATCCAAGATCAAGAAGACAAGTAAAGTTCGAGACCTTATCACACCATCGAACGAATATAAACTATAAAATTGATGAATCACAACTCACTCCAAACTCCTTGACGCCTCTTGTTGGAGTTTTCCCATAGTTCCAGATCTTGATGCCATAAACGGATACCGGGACATCGAATACAAAATAAACCCTGGAAGCAGTCAGGTAATTATCATCAAATTTAGAACAAGTAGATTGTTTACAGACAGTCCTGTTTGCTTCTTAACTCGTCGAGTACCGGTTTTATAAACACAATTAAAGAACAATAGGTCGCGGTCACCGGTGACCGCTTAGTGTTTGACAGTTTAAGGAAATAAACCTTAGCAGTTTTATTCGGCTTTAGAGCTATGGAATTTTAGTTATTTGGCGTACCAGTACCAGGTACCATTTGTTACGTCATACTCATACGTTTACCCAAAGTAATTACTATAGTGCGTAAACCTACTGTCGTTTAAGTTATAATTTATAACACACACGTTTATGACACAACTATCGTCTTTACAGCGTTATATTCAGCGCCACCCGCATGTAGTTCATGCAAGTGGTTCAGTGGAGATCGAAAGCTATGACGGCTTTTATCATCTGACACCTACCGTTTAAAGTGCTAACGTTTTTACAGTTAGTGACTATGCCAAGAAGCTACTGGGTCAACAAGATATAGAAGAAATGGTATGTGTGAACACAAAATGTTCAGTGCTGACCTGTTGAGTGTGTGTGGTAGTACAGGTGCGAGCCAGGAGTGCGAAGCGTCTCCGACGCGCGCGTTGTGTCCGTCGATGAGTTTGTCCGGAGTACGCACGTCAGCAGCGCGCGGGTCCAGCACGTTCACACTCGCTGGATGAGCGCATACATCTGGGAGACAAACGAGAATCTAAGGAACAAGCTCCTGCATAGCTAGGCCGATGATAAGGTGAGTCCTTCATTGATTATTTCTTTTATTGGGACTACAACTTTGGGATTGCCAAAAAAAATAGTAGTGTGAGAAGAGGTCGCTTTCAATCGACCGAAGTCGTTGGGGAGGCTATTGTTACTGGAAAGCTCTTCTGGATGATATGATGAAGAAAAACAGATTGGAAATTAGCTATTAAGTGTGACATTGGTACATAAGAAACACAAATATTTGCAAACTATTCGACATACTTGTCTCAGTAAGCGGTACCAAGTTTCCATGAGGGTCGTACAGCTCGACTCCTGTGAGGCCGACATAGTAAGGGTCGCCCCAAGTGGAGAATATGTTCAGCTGCAGCACAAAGCCGGTGGGAGCTCCCATGTCCAGGTTAGTACCGTATACTAAGCAATCCATGCGGAAGCTATCCGTATCTTTCGCATCGTCTAGCCTACAAAGAGAAAGAAACAATGGTTAAGTTAGCTTTCCGTCCCGTAACTTTCCTCGTGGATCGTGGTACATAAACCTTCACGAATTCTACATTTAAACTTTAAATGGAAGGTTTAAAGTTTACCGTTCACTAGTTTTCAATATTTTCGCGAATACGCCAAACTTGCGGGAAATGAAGTAAAAAGCTGTACCTACCTAATGATTAATAATAATGACCGTGTGGGGCATAATACATAAATCAATAACTTTAGGTTAGCATTAGACCAATCAAATTCGACAATGAGCCCGGAACTATATGATGACTTTCAACAGAAATCTTACCTATCGTCGACAGCGAGCAAGTCGATCTGCTGCACGTAATCATAGCATGTGTCTCCTGGAGCGCGGCGTAGTAACAATGGTCTGTAGTTTAGTGGGGCACCGTCCAGGGAGATCCGCGCGTGTTTCGCACCTATGTACGAGAGTTCCATGTTCGCGTTGTAGTTCCATAAACGGATACCTAAGTAAATAAATAAGACGACTTGATTTAACACAATTATTTGATAAAGCCTTAATTTTAATGTAAGCAAAAGAAAAATGTCGAGACTCATGCTATACTTTATACATATGTAACTGGATATATTTCTTACTGGTAATCTCAGTGGGTTCCATTAGCTCCATAACAATATGACAGAATTTGTTGCCGGTCGCAAAGTTCGTGCACCACATGTCTTCGAAGTCGGTGGTGATGTTCCTACCGTTGAACAAACTCTTGCACTCTATGAGATTACTATGTTCCGTCGCTTGGTCCTCAGTAATGAATGCAGTGTATGCATACGCTCGGTGAATCTTGACCGGCTCGTTGTAACAAAGGAGCTCGATCCCTGTTGGGCGCCAAACCGACGAAACGCATGTTATTGTTTGTTATTTGTTATCATTGTTATTGTTATAAGGCTCCGATATTTAAACATGACGAAAGTTCGTGCAATGGGATCATTACGATTTCGAATCCATTTGTCTTACTTATAAATTAAAAATAATGGCCAGACAACGAGTCTAAAGTTACGATAAGTGCTGTTGATATTTGTCGTAAATAACTTTATACTATTGCTTTACAAATCAAAATGAAGTAGGTACCTAATTTAACGTCCTTACCAGTGAGTCCAACCAAATGCCTTTGTCCCCAAGTAGACATGAGCGTCATTTTGATTTTCTTGGCGATGTACTTAATCTCCTTCTCTTCAATATCCAGAGCTTCTAACAGTGCCGTTGGGCTCATATTATGATTACTGTCGTTGGCCGTTGGAGGTCGCTTCTCGATAATATTCGGGAAGTCGGCCATCGGCTCATTGTCCTTTAGTAAGGCTTGGAAGTTCTTGTCATTTTGCATTATAGCCTCCAGTATAGCAGGGTCTTTCGTGAAGAGGATTGTCTAGAAAATTAAAAGTTGAGAGTTTTGTTCTTGTGCATCATGCCTTGTAAAGGACTGTGAAACGACCTAATTAAGCGTCAAATCGTTAAAGATTATTTAACTCTGTCAGAAAGACCAACAATAGTTAGTCTTAGAATGTAGGTATTCAAACAAATACGCTTGCGATCATTATGAAGCAAATCCTAATGAAAAATTCAATTAGGTTACGCCTAGATTGCGTGTTATTTTAGGTCTTTCAAAAACTTGACGCGCCACATAGTAATTCATTAAATAATCTAGAAACTTCAGCACCTATTACAAGGTAGAAGAATATTATAACACGTGTATCTGTTGGTACAACATATAATTCAAGTGTGAAGGTATAATCAATACCGTTGCACTTCAACTTCCAAGAACGCTATAGTGCTAGATCGATTTACAGCTGATACATCGTTATGTATTAATAGGCGAGTGTGTTCTTTCTTTGTTATTTTTTTACGGGGAAAATGACATGTTCCTATAGATAGCTAAGGTGTGTTTACGTTATTCGCAATAAAGTCTACATTTCAACAGAAAACTGGCAATATATGCAGTCTCATTGTAATAGATAGTGTGCCTTTTGAAATATTACAGGAAAATTTCCAAAGCTTTACCACGTACAAAGCATCTACCTCAAACTTGCAAATAAACGTAGTAGGTAACTGCTTTGTGTCAGGTAGGCTGTAAAGCAAGTCTACCATCGCAGTTGCATAATTAATGGTATCAATTCTTACATCACCAAACGACGATAATGGGCCCTTCAACTCTCCACTGGACCTCGCGATTTCTCCGTGGAATATAACTTGGTCATCTAATTTTATTTGGACCAACCTGACCCCACGAGCAGAATATATTCGCGATTTATTGTAATTCTGAAAAAAAAACGATACAAAATTACCGAATCCTACGAGACTTACGATTGCTTTATTTTAATAGCCAACTCAAGGATTCCATGATTACCTACGTTCTATAACATAACGATGTATAGTAACTTATCTTACCCATATCCTCAACAACGCCAGTCTGGAGCCTCCAGCTAATAAAACAGACAAAGCTATAGGGTTGCCACGTGGCGCTGGCACGGTCCAAGCATGCCGTTCATCACGAGTGCGCATCACGCCGTCTATTATGTTCTCAGCGCGCCCGTGTTTCGATTGGTCCCCTGTGTCCGAATCAGTCCACACCTAGAAAGAATTTTGTGTAGAAATACAACGTGTCATATGGATTATATTGTACACTACAACATACTAAATAAAAAAAAATCTACCTTCTCCACAATAACAGGATTGCCATCCGAATCAAAGAGTTCTATCCCATTCAAGCCAACCAAATATTTATCACCCCAGTTAGAGAAAATCTTTAGCTCCAACAACCGTCCTTCTGGTAACTCAGGAATGACGAACTCATTCTTGGCCTTCTCCTTTAATCCATGTTTTAATGGAACTGAACTTAATGATGAAGGTTTCTTCGTAATGTTTTTTGGACCAGGTCTCTTGACTGAATTACTTTCTTGCAAGCTAGTAATGCCCTCTTTGGTGACGAGCTTTTTACGAGTTTTTGGCTCTTGCGGCCCTGAAATAAAACACATTTAGATATCGACAAGACTCAATAGGTATGTATATATTTTGCATAACATAATTGCAATATATAATTATTATCTCGTCGTACTTACTGGGGCCTAGAATGACGTCATGAAAATCATCATCCATCAAATTATTGGCTCGTCGATGCCGTGGCGTAACGTAATGTGGTAGCAAGTCTGATAAAAAGTCATTGGAGCTTGCATTGGGAGAGTCTCCCCAGTCCAATTTACCCCTAACGTTGTAAACGCGGCGTCCGTTTTGGTACGCTTGAAAAACATTTAGAACATTGTTAAAGGGCTGTTAAATAAGCAGATCATTGAAGTTAGATAGAATTCACCGAATAAGAAAATAAATGAGTAGAAGAAAGATAAATTAATAGAATTAAGAAATTATTTACCTTTTGGCTGGCGCAAAGTACCAGCGGAGTGCGCAACAGATCCTAGCTGCGGTTTCATTAACATATCCATTGTTGCATCTAATGATGTCCGGCGCGCTAACCTGGAATGTTATTTCCTCAGATAATAAATACCTACCTAATAATATGGTGCAAGACGGCTTGGCCTAAAACATATCTTAAGATGTCCTTACCTACGGCCTTCTAATTTAGAATTTTCGATTTTGTATTTGGTATCCTCCAGAATTGGAGAATCACTGTTGCTATTTCGAATATGCGTCTCTTTCATCTCCCTGAAAAAATAACTGTTCAAAGCAACCGTTCGAAGACATCGTGTACTAAGGTAGGTCTGGTATCGGTTTGGCCCAGCCTTGACACGGAAGTTGAGTGAGAGTGCATTGTACCAAGAATTTCCATATTGACGTCTTTCCTTTATGTAGGTAAAGTAAACGATTCATTAATCATTCTGGGTACTTCTAATGGAAAGAGGTCACACTTACTTGGTAAGGCTTTCGAGCCAGTACGGCAGGTCCCGGTCCTTGTTTGCATAGTCAAGCCCATTTTGCTGATGTGCCATCCTTGAGCCATGGGATTATTGTTATCTTTGAAGAGAATGTAGAATTCTATTGGATATTAGACTCATTCTTTAACCCACTCGACACTGAAAGTGGTTTGGATATAATTTCCACTAGCCGGATCTACGTTTAAAAAATACAAATAACAAAATAACACGCTTTTTATAACTATTATTGATAAATTTAATCTTCATTCACACTTGCCTCTTTTGAAACATATTTTTGCCGCTGTTTGTTTGACCTTGGTTGCTATGGTTATAATGTTCTTCCTACTGAATAGTTTCACCTGAACAAAAATCTTGGTGAATAAAATTTTGTTTTAAAAATACTGAAACCAATTAAATGAGCGACTTTATTAAATTAATACCCAGCAAACTTCTTGTTTAGTTAAAATTATTATTATTTCAAACATGCATTCGATTCACGAATTTCACAAGGATGAATAATTTCTGTTTCTGAACGCACGCTAATTTGACGCACACAACGTCCATGTCAAATCGGCTGACGAAATTTTTGACAATTATGACATGTGTTTTTCTTGTTGCTTGTTGCGGTGGCAATAACCTAAAATCTTATTAGATTTTAATGGTTTTGAGCCAAAATACATCGAATTGGAAATAATTCTGTATCAAAGGTACACATACAAGTGAAAAGGTGTTATTACTGTTAAAATGTCTGATCATAAAACTATAGAAGAAAGGACGGTGCAGGCAGAAAGGGAAGCACAGGCTATCGAAGAAGAATTAGACAAGATAACTCGAGGAGATCTTAGTTACATCGGTGACCCGCGGCTAGAGAAGCTATCCACTGAGAATGAGAAGCTAAAACATCGCTTAGTTATTTTAGAAAATGCGATCAAAGCTGAATGTTCCGGGTCTAAGACAACAGCTGTTAAAAAGGAGCCGAAGAAGCGCCCAAACTTAATCACTGACGTCAACTCTGTTGAAGGCAACATATGTTTAGTGGATGAGTTAAAAAACATATTCGAAGTGGCCATTACGTCTGCCTATCCTGACCTGGAGGACCCCCCTGTTGTTATTACTTTGTCTGGTAACAATCCTAAATTCGGCGACTACCAATGCAATTCAGCTATGGCAATCTCACAACTATTAAAAGCTAAGAATGTTAAGACTAACCCTCGAGAAGTGGCCAATAACATCTTGAACAAAACCCCAACCTCACCATTCATTGAGCGAATAGAAGTGGCTGGTGCTGGCTTCTTAAACATCTACATCAACAAAATGATGGCTGAACACATCTTAAACTGTATCCTAAGGTTTGGAGTAAAACCTCCTCCAGTAAAAAGGGAAAAGATTGTTGTTGACTTCTCATCTCCCAACATCGCTAAAGAGATGCATGTTGGGCACTTAAGGTCTACTATCATTGGAGAAAGCATTTGTCGCATACTTGAGTTCTTGGGTCATGATGTTTTGAGGATCAATCATTTAGGAGACTGGGGAACACAGTTTGGAATGTTGATAGCTCATCTCCAAGATAAATTCCCTGACTACAAGACTCATTCCCCGCCAATCTCAGATCTGCAAGCTTTCTATAAAGAATCTAAGAAAAGGTTTGATGAAGATGAAGAATTCAAGAAGCGAGCTTATGCATGTGTGGTGCAGTTACAGTCACACCAGCCTGACTACATCTCTGCATGGAAACTAATATGTGATGTGTCCCTACAAGAGTTCCAGAAAATTTATGACCGGCTAGACATCAGTATCATTAATCGAGGAGAGTCTTTTTATCAAGACAGGATGGATGTTGTAGTAAAGCAGTTAAAAGATGCTGGGTACTTAGAAGAAGACGAAGGCAGGCTAATCATGTGGGGAAGCTCTGATAAACATGAAGGTATACCACTAACAATTGTAAAATCTGGTGGAGGCTACACCTATGATACATCTGACATGGCCACCATAAAGCAAAGGGTAGAGGAAGAAAAAGGGGATAGGTTTATTTACGTCACTGATGCTGGCCAAGCCACACATTTTGTTATTATAGAAGCTTGCGCCCGCAGGGCTGGCATCTTGAAAAATAACCAAAAGATAGAACATGTTGGTTTTGGTGTAGTGTTAGGAGAGGATAAGAAAAAATTCAAAACAAGGTCTGGTGACACTATAAAGCTTATTGAGTTACTTGATGAAGGTTTGAAAAGGTCCATGGACAAACTGGTTGAGAAAGGACGAGACAAAGTCTTGTCACCTGAAGAACTGAAGCAGGCTCAGGAAGCTATTGCTTATGGATGTATTAAATATGCTGATCTCTCACACAATAGGATTAATGATTACATATTCTCTTTTGATAAGATGTTGGATGACAAAGGTAACACCGCTGTCTACCTCTTGTATGCCTTGACTCGAATCCGGTCAATAGCAAGGACTGCACAGATCTCACAGGAACAATTGAAGGCTGAGATTGAAAAGTCTGGCTTCAAGTTTGGTCATGAAGCTGAATGGAAACTGGGAAAAGTATTACTAAGGTTCCCAGAAATTATATTGAAAGTATCCAGTGATCTGTACCTGCACAGCCTGTGTGAATACTTGTATGAAATATCTTCAGCGTTCACTGAATTTTACGACAAGTGCTATTGTGTCGAGAAGGATAAAGAAGGAAAGATAGTCAAGATAATCTACGAAAGGTTGATGTTGTGTGAAATCACTGCCAGAGTCAAGAAATGCTTAGACATCCTAGGAATCAAAACAGTATCCAAAATGTAACTACTCTAAGTAGGCACTCACTAGTTTTAGGCATATCACAATTTTAATTTATACCACTAACCATTTATAAGTAATGCCTAAAGGTTTGTATTAATAAATAATAAGAGTAAATTGTTTGTAAAATTTTATTTATTGAGTTCCCAAAAACCTCTACAAAACTATACCAGGGTCCAATATCAAAGGTAACTTCATGTTCATAACACTATCTGTTAGAAAAATTATATAGAATAGTCACTGGATTTTATTTGTAAAGCAGGTAACATATTAGACAGAAATCATATTAATTTAAAAAATGTAAATTAAAATATTGTACTTTTATATACCCAAAATTAGAGTTGGATCGACGGAAAATCACCAAAATTTATTCAGTTTGAAAACAGTCATGTCTTAACAAACAGCCAACCTTTCACGATAATTACGAAGACTTAAGTTGGACCTCGATTTGTGGTCACACATTCTGTGGACTGTGTCCACTATGTGGAACAGGCTTCTACCAAACTTACAATAGAATGCAGTCCACTGTGTTACCTGCCTTACGTTAAGATGTTTGCATTATCTTACCATCTACAACAATACACGTTACATCACATTAAACATCGTACAGACAACAAGTTACTGCTCTCGTACGAGTGTCCACCGATACAAGTGTCAAATAATCCCTGGAATTAGACAAATAACGGTCTCAAGTAAATCTCGAATATTTCAACGGTGGACGCTCCTACGACAGCTAATTATGTATAACGAGATGATTATTCCCACTAATTAATACATCAAAATCTAGTAGATTCTATTACATTGACGTAATACGCCATAATATTGTTGAATTTACATAAAAGTTTAATAATAGGTACAATTTTAAACAGTGGGAAACTATTAATACACCTGTAGTCTAGAATTAATTTAAAATGGAATATTTCAGCTAAAATATACATATAGGTATATTTTCCTCATTAACTTGAATTATTTTCATTTTATCATATGCTAATATTAAGCCATAATTTTAATTTATTTAGAAGTCAGACAGAGTTTTAAAATAGAGGAGTTTGCGACTCAAGGTGGTTGGAAAATAAAAAAGGTACGTCAAAGGAAGACGGCCGTAATAGAGTTTGATTACATTAAAACGTATGGAATTATTAAGGAATGTTAATTTGATTTAGAAGACCTACCAACAGCATCTCTGGAAGACTTGAGACACGCGCATTGCTTTAGCAACAACAACATTTACAGCAACAGTCGTAACACGAGAACATACGTATTTGGCTAGGTACAATCAAAGCGACAAGTATTACATACCGGTACTGTCGAGCACAATTCGAATATTATAATGACTACAGAAAATTGTCTCCATCGTACGTATTTAATAATAGGACCCTAATAATATCCGAAACATTACTGTTACACGTTCCGACGCTACCCTTCCCTACTTACGAATACTTTGCACTTTTGAGGAGTTCTCATCTACCATGATATTACAAACAGGTATCGCTACAACGCCTGTCTGACACCGTACTCTAAAAAAAACACCTCTTCCTAATTTTAAAATAAATTTCATATTATTTAACTAATTGTAGTGAGATAATTATGTTGAATGAATTAATAATTTTAGTGTTTGTGCATTCTTGTAATAGTTGATATTACCCTGTGATAACCTTGGCTAACCGGTTGTCATGATTCTTTACTCAACCAATTCGCTTATAATGTCATAAGCCGCGCATCCAAAATGTAATTAGCCTAAATAAAACGGTTCAGTATCAATGACTCGGTTGTTGATCTTTCAACCACGCGGCTGCATGCACATTGCATAAAATTAATTCACATTCAATACACAAATGTTTGTAGCAAAAACAATGACTAGAATGATTACAAAATCAAAATATAGCACTTGATGCGACACTAAAACCTTCGATTAGGTAACCCATTGAATATAATTACAAATTAACACATTTTATCATAAAGTAATGCTATCGCTTTACGAAGAGTATTTTTTAGTCCAAACAGGTTAAAGGTCTGAAGTTATACATTCAATTTCCCTCTGTCCATTGTGTGAGCCCGCAACTGTCTAAGTATGGAGGCGCTGTCGTCCTAGTTTTGAAACAGAGTCGATTGTTCAGGTATCGTAAGAGCACAGTGAGCACAGGGACAGGGAACAATGCTCGGCGGTGCCAGCGTGATAACACATCACTCGCATGTAGTACCTACGACTGCCACCAACACGCAACCGATACCTCGCACATCCTACTGTAATCATTGGAAGTCTGGCAAAATATTACCTAATCACACGAACGATTGAGCAATCCTTAAAAAATCTAAATTGGGACATAAATAAATAATTTAAAAATTAAATAAATATTGAAGATGTTAAAATTTTAAAATCCTAATTCATAGACACGAGATGGTATATACATTCAACTAGCTAAACTATAACGACTAATACTAAGGAAAAAGTCACATTGAGGTGTATAAAAGATTTCGCTGAAAAACTGGATTCCGTATAAGTATAATAAGTTAATAGGTATAAACGTTTCTAAAAACCCTCAATACGATTTTTTTTTAAATAGTTACTCTAAAAAGGGTTGGATTGGTCTCGAGATTCTGAGATACGACTACAAACACTACAACAATAGTACAATAAGTTCAACAATATGTTACAAAATATACACACATTTACCATTTGTAGTAAGTTTGGCCGAACGTGGTTCATGCTGCTAATATGTAACGTTACGTCTAATAAATACTCGTATCTATGGTGTCTGTGAGAGACGCGCCATACTGCATTCGACAACCGTCACACGACCAGCGCCTGCCTCATCGCAGGCAATTGGCTTTATGACGAAGGACAACACTACTGGGACACTGAAAACTCGAGGCAGTTACTTGTCATCCATTGTCTTATAAGATGACACGCAACTTATAATAAAGACATCGAACCCTCCCAAAACCTAAGTTAAAATTGGTTCTCTAGACGTAAGGAATGGCCTGCTACGTTAAATAACATACAAAACAAATCCTTATGTAGGCTAAGTCAGAAAACTATACCACCCAATTTAAATGGAAACACCATTTAAATTAACCACAATCAAAGTTAAATTACTTTCTGTTTCAAAGAAAATTAAATTCGTTTCGTTGTTCATCGCTTTTGTGATAGGACAACGGTCAATCCGGACAAACATTTGTCTATAAATAATGCTCGTGAATAGAGTTGTAAACCGATTGACAAGTTTACAAAAGTTTGTTATCGAGTATCGAATCGAGTACGATACGAGTATTTCGTAAATGACTTTACTATTCATTACGGTGTACATAATGTGGGCGAGCGAAGCAGCAACAGGAATAAACTTCCTTCGCAATTTCCTGCCGAAATTACCGACCGATTAGTCGATAAATTAATGTGTAATACTCTACACTAGTGCAGACGCAACGTTTTAATAGCGGCATGTTATACAAACAATATTAATTTAAATAAAGAACACAATAATGTGAACTTTAAAGTCATTAGTCATGCATTGTCAATATTATAAGTTGCCTCCAAAATATTCATGTAAGTGTCCTCAGTATTATATTTTCCGTAAACATGTAATTGAATATCCGATATAAGAAAGATGAGTGACACGTGTTGAACACAGAGCCGGAGTATGAGCGTGGATGCTGCGGCATGTGGCCTTGATGTGACAATATTGATTGCAGTATGGCGCGTGGAGAGACCGGAAGCTCACGTAACTGTATACCACGGTTACTTACACGTAACTGTATACCACGGTTACTTACACGTACTACCTGAGCGACTCGACGCGAGCACTACTCTATATCATAATATTTACATGCATACGATATTGTTCAGGCGAAACGCAGTCCCGACAGACTTGTGTATAAATGAGTTAACGACGATATGCGTAGAAGTTTTGTTTGGAAAATGTAAAATTACAACAGGTAACTAATAATTTTCTTTGCAAAATTTCAATTAGTGCTCATCTTACCGAAAAATATAACAACCGGCTATTATATGTCGCTTACGGTAGTCTACATCCACACGAATAGGCATACACTTACGATTCGTCCCGGTTAACAGCATAAAACCTACTGTAGTTTATTTTAGTCTATACCAAATCACTACACAAAAGATTCACTCACACATTACGAAGTTAACGACTGCACAAAGCCGCAAATCGGAGCTGCAGCACCGTTGATCGTCCGATACTTCGGACGATTGTCGGTGGAATTATTTAATTTGCGGCCTTGTTGTCGAGTTAGGATACAAAAATAGCTTTAGAGAGCTCTAATAATGGAGATTCAATAGGTTAAAGGGGCAGTCTTCAATGAGATTTAAGTTCTGGGAAGAGATGTCGCAGGATGGCCAAGTAGTGAACGGTGGCGGCCAGCGCAACGAATATGTGCCAGATAGCGTGAGCGAAGGGAATGCGGCCGTCGGACTTGAAGAAGAACACGCCGGCCAGGTACAGCATGCCGCCCAGCTTCAGGTCGTACATCGCCGGGAACTGGTGCTGGAAAACAAACACCACACATTAACATGCTGACAACATACAGTACTAACATACATATTTTGTGGCTACTCGACAAACACTAAGATATGACAAATCAGCTTTTTAATAAAACAAAAACATCAATTACGAGCAGTAAGTCCCTTTATATCATGCAGAACTACAAACACGGTTACTTAACTACATCAAAGTGAAGCAATGATTAGATAATAAAACGGTCAGGTACGACCAGTCCTAATTAAACACAACACAAAATTACTTCGCTACGTTTAATCAAAGGGACGTAGTTCAACAACCGAGAGCGCTCACAATTGCCCGACAGAGCAAATATACATGAAAAGGTCGTTACTTTGACAATACTGGCAAATGAAGAAAGAATTCTACCAAAACGTGGATTAGGTGAAGAATGAGACCAAAATGAACTGTGCTTGTTAAACCCCAAAAGAAAATAAAATGGAGTTAGTCATTTCCATGCAAGCTATAAAAAAGCTTAAACAAGGAAAGTGAGAGAATCTTATGTCATGTATTTTAATCAGAAATACTATACAACGTTAAACTCCTACATAACCCGTAGCCCGGAGGCTCCAGAGCGAGGTGCCTATCGTTAAATATTGTACAAAATGAGAAAAATAAATGAACGTCTATTGATTTTCGCTCAATTCTAAAATTAGCTCGGTCCCGCACTGATTTAATTTGTTTTAATTACGGGCGTGATAGCCTTTTTATGGATAATTTTCCCTAAATTGAAACTCAAATTATTTCGATCCCTCTCACTCAATTTTATAAGTTGAAACTTGAAACTCAATATTATAAGTTTTCATTAGAAATTGGTTCTGGAATATAAATGTTCCTCTTTAATAATAAGAACAGTGCATAGTTGCATATATTTTGGCAAGAGTCAATAGATTACAAATACATATTACAATTAGGAACGCTTCACCAACGTTTACACGTGGTTCCGAGGAGTGCCAAAGCTTAGTGCAGGTGTTGAGAATTCTATAGAGCACGTGAAATCATTCCACCGTTAATAAATTTATATTTGACGGAGTATCCGAGTGGATATGCACAAAGAATACCAATGTAACAAAGTACAATATAGTTTCTATGGATATTTAGGAGCATGATGCTTATAATGTGAGCAACAGGTTCCAATATTGAGGAAGATGATTTTGACATCTGCCAACAAAATCAATAACCTAGGGTAACGAGATACCAATCGACAGGAAAAGGATTGCCTTTCCTAATATTGTACAAGGGACTTTGATCGAGTCTGTTCGTTAGTTACTGATGAATCGGTAAAATAGTTTTCTCATTTCGCAATCAAAATAACATTTTATAAACGACGAGGTACTCAGTCAAATTATTTCCGTTAATACAAAAAAATACGTAATAAGGAAAACTGTCATGGCGGTGCCCCAAAATGTCATGGATGGCCGATTGCATTAAATATTTCAACCTCGGAAAGTAAATTACACACGCTAGATAAATGATATTGGTATAACATGAACTATATCAGTAATGCGATATTGATTACCGTTTTTATTCAAAACTAATAAACATTAAATTGTAGTTTTTAATTATTTTCATAAAACGGCTACGATGCTTAATTACTTTGTATTCATACACACACATTTGGTAGGAAATTTATTTTGTCATTAACTAAAAATTGTAGCAAATGGATGCTACAGAGATTCATTTTTGAGTTTTAAAATAGTAGCTCCAGAATAGAGGGTATCAAGAGTGCAGAGCACTTGAAAACCTGCATGTGTACACCAATTTGTTTGTCCCTGTAATGGTAGAATATGTCTACCATTACAGGGACAAACAAATCAGGCTCGGTGTTATGCGGCAAATAATGCCTAAGTAGTTATAGCCCAGTAACTCATGTATAATGTTCTCTATTTAGAAATGAAAATGTTAATGTATTCTAACACATTATCATTAATTAATTAGGTCGCTAAAACACTTTCAAATTCTATTGGGAACTAACTACAATAGTAAATTCAAGTCCATAAATTATTAAGTTCTATTTAAAGTACTTAAAACAGGGTTGAACTAATACTGAAATTGATTCTCTTCCTACTAACAAATAATTCAAATGCTGGTTGATTGCCCTTTTGTTCTAGTGGTCTACTCTGGGGCAGTTGACGAGTTTGTATTTAACAGGTCGATAACAGTGTTCCGTAAGAGTTTTTGGACCATGTAGTGTTGAGTCACTGTGAACATTGTCGTGAAAGAAACCGAAAATAGCAGATCTAACTTATAATATTCCCGAATGGGTTTATATTTAACAGAGATATTTTGTAATGAGATTCATTTTTGGGTTTAAATCGAATATTAATAAAAAAATGCGCAATTCCATTTAATACTAAGCAGCAATTTCGTTACTAACTTCTAAGAAAACTCTTACTCTAAAAATAAGGTCATACAATAATATAACCAGAATCTAGAATTACCTTCTAGTCCGCCCTAACGTGAACAATGCGAACAATGAGCGCACAATGTACGAAGTAATATTTTAGAGTTGCCAGTCTCCGCTGGGAATGTGGCCAGTTAACTACATTTCAATCTCCCGGCGATACGAGCCAGCTTCTAAATTAAATTTATGTGACACGACATCAACACTCTTGAGGGCGCCTTGTATAGTCATAGAGAAAAAGGTATTACATTTTTCCCGTATCTCTCAAATAGACGCTTGGAAAGACAGCAAAAAGCCTTTGAAGAACAGTTTTGAAGAATAAATACAACAAACATTCATTTCTGAAAAAGACCAATAAAGGGTTACGTACTTTTCCTAGTAAGTTCCTATTCACGAAAGTTTTTTTTTTTTTTTTTTTTCTATTTATTTATTTTGGGGTTTTTATCCACATGGATATGCCAACCCCATCGTACCCTCTTAGTTTTAATTACACTACCTTAAGTAATAATATAAATAAATAAATTTATTGAGAGAGAATCATCAATCGGGTATTTTTGATAATCTACTTAATTTTACTGCTAACTTAGATTTAGGACTTGCCAAAATTGTCAGTACTAACCCAACATCTAAAACATTTAGTTTAAACTCTTCAATTAATGATTCTCTCTCATTCTTGTTTCTGATACATTCCATCAGCAAGTGAAGTATATCTTCAATTTTGTTGCAAGATAAACAATAAGGTGATGCGACTTTTCCCATAAGATATCCAAACTTTGCTGATGGAAAGTGTCCAGAGCGTAATCTTAAGGCTAACTTAATATACTCTCTATTTAATTTGTCATCATCGAACCACAGCATACGAGGAGGCTCACTTTGTATCACTTTGTACCATATCCCTTTTTCTCTAGACGTTTCATCAAAATGGTTTTTCCATTTTGTGTAACATTCATCCTTGAATCTGTTGACATATTCCCAGTAATCTGGTAGGTATACTATTTCATTACCTGAGTCAACGGCAAGCTTGGACAAGCTGTCAGCCTCCTCGTTGCCCCGGAGGCCGATATGTGCTGGAACCCATTGCAATACAATATTGATATTATTATTGTTCTGATAATGGATTAATTTGAGAATATCATAGGCTATCGCTGTTCCTCTGCAACCAGAGGTACATCGAGCCACATGCTGTAAAGCGCTTTTACTATCAGTAAAAATAACAGCTTTATTTAATTTTTTGTTTACTGCATAAAGTATAGCTTGATATATCGCAATGAGTTCCAGCGACATAATGGAGACGTCGATGGTGATTTTAAATATAAATTTATCCCCTAAGCTTTGACAATAGAAAGCCGCTCCGCCCCCCCCTGCTACTTTTGACCCATCCGTGAATATTTTACAGTAGTTTTCATATTTGGAAGCTAATTCGGATACCACCTCTGTTACTAATAAATTAGGGTCATAATATTTTTTTGGTTGTCTAACACTTTCTAAATTACATTGAATAGTATTTTCAATCTGAATAGCCGATACCCATATATCAAGGATGAACATTTTAAATATATCTGAAGATGCTAACTGGAGTTGACTCAATTCATTAAAAACTGTGGCGAGCAAAGGTTTCTTCTTATTTGTCCAATAGGGGTCATGAATATGCGAGTTTAATTCTAGAATGATGTCTTTACTGGGGCTGTTAGACCAAGATAGTGTTTTCAAAATAAATTTATAAGCTAGGTATTGTCGTCTTAAAAATAATGGAAGTATGTGCAATTCACTCTCCATTACATGGATCGGTGAACTTTTAATGAAACCTCCTATCACTCTAAGAGCTTGGTTTTGGAGTTTATCCAATTTAGCTATATTTGTCTTTGCACTAGTATCATATAAAAAGCATGCATAATCAAGTCGACTTCTGATTATTGATATGTATAGTTTGCGTATATGCTTAGGGTGTACTCCCCAGGTACCACCGGCTAAGACTTTCAATAAATTTAGATATTTTGAACATTTTGCTATAATCTCGCTTATATGTTTTCTCCAGTAAAGGCTTCTATCTAACCATACTCCAAGATACTTTACACATTCTACCATAGACAACGGTTGGTCATAAATTTTTAGAGTTGGTACTATCTTTCTCCGGCCTCTACTAAAAATACAGTAATTAGATTTTGTAGGCGACAAAGTTAATCCAATCTCACCCAGTAACCCAACCAAACAGTTGAGGTTGTCTTGCAAGTATTTTCCACACTTTTCAATCTGTTTGTCACCAATAAATAACAAAGTCATCCGCATACTGAGTGAAGAACACGTTTTGTAATTTATCACACATTTGGTAAGTGGCTAAATTGAACAGTAAAGGAGACAGCGGGTCTCCTTGTGCTAACCCTCTATTAGTCCACCTAGGTGTTAATCCGTCATTATTAAGAGATTTAATTACCAAGTGCCTTTCGTTCATAAAATTCCAAAGGTAAATGCAAAATTTTGACCCAACCTGTAGATTATCTAGGCTTTTTGTTACTGCTTCAATGGATACATTATTATATGCATTTTCAATATCTAAAAAACATGCGATTGTGGGAATATTTTTGGA